CCAAATACCTCGAAAACGATACCCAACTTGCCATTATGTGAATAATCGTGCCCGCCATCTTATTTCCTAACCAACCCCTAACCCCCCAACTCAACCCCTAACCCACCCCCTAACCCAACCCCAAACCATACCCATTAATTTATCATAATCGTCAGTTTTAATTGTTAATCAAAACCATTGATTTAATTGAATTAATTGTTAATCTTTAATTGCCAGAACAATTAAATTTGTATAAAAATGACCAATTGTTAATTGCTGTTTCTCAATTGACAATTAATTAATTGTCAATCATTAATTGCCAGAACAATTAAATTTTGCCCAACACTGCTTATAACCAGGCGTGCTAATGATACTGATTTTCCAATACCGGGGACGCATTATGGACAAAAGAAAACAGTATGTACGAAGGAGTTCTGACGGCCAAGTTATCGAAAGATATTAAAGACAAGTCGTTTTCATTATTAAAAAAAAAACAAATTCCATATTCGGTGGAACTGCTGATAAATTTCTAAATGTACGTAATTACTATCAAAAGTGTCATCTTTGCAATTGCTATGCAATACTTGAGTGGTCCCGTATTTTTATTAAAAGAGAATACAATTAAATTTAAAATTTAATTTAATTTCATTAGAATATCATATTTTGTAAACAAGTACTCTGTATAAATTCTATAGTACCTTGCATTTGTTGATAAATTTGTATTCTTATATACCATACGGATTACCTTTAGTTGTTGGAAGTCGGAGCATCGGGTGAGCATTTTGAGAACGTTGCCTTGTGTCATGGCTCTTCGGACCATCTGGTTGAACACTTGCATCGTCTCCACCGTTATGTAGTAGTGGCTTGCCGTGCGACCAAGATCTGTAAATTGCGTCTTCGTTCGAATACGAGATATAAATGTGTGCGCGTAACTTATACGAAAATTAAATAAACTAATTTCAAAGCATATACCATTCATTTAATATCATTTTTATTTGGACCAATTTCACTTTCTATAATTTATCTTCATGTAATTGTTGTTTGATATAACATTCACATTTGGTAAAAAAATTATATACCGACAGCTGGAAATCGCCGGAAAGCGATATTATCGTATCTCGAAAAATAGGAAAATACTATTTTTAATCGACTTCAAAAAAAGGAGGAGGTTTTCAATTCGACTGTATGTTCTTTTTTTTTGTATGTATGTTACGCGATAACTCCGGTATTTGTGAACCGATTTTCTAGATTCTTTTTTTGTTGGAAAGGGGGTACTTCCATAGTGGTCCCATTTCATTTTGAAGAAAATCATCCACCTCGAAGGGTGGCTGTTCACGAATGAAGATTCATTTTTATAAATAGCGCCTAACTTTAATTTAGGAGCAATTATTTTAATGGTTGATTTTGCTATTTCTCCAATTCAAGGCGTTTTTCTCTCAATATACTGTGAGTAGTGAGAACCGATTTTTATTATCTCCAGTGTCAAGTCCTGTATAGTGGCGAACTAGGGGATATTTCAATAAAACTTAGCAAATAGACGTAATTCCACGTATTTTTGAGGTCGGTTTTTTTAGTACTCTGTACTAAGATTATTCGAGATACGACAAGATCGCTTTCCGGCAATTTCCAGCTATTTGTATTTTTATGTTATTCAAACCGACCCCCAACCACCTGATGGAAGTTCGTTCTCGGGACGTACGATCTCTAGTCTCCTTTGCCTATGATTGCGCAGTCTATTAAATTCGGAGCACATAAGTGCGGCTTTGTATTAGAAATAGGTAAGGTGGTTGTACCTACACATGTAGCTTAACCCTACTTACCAGTAAAATTGCATCAATGAGTTTGTTTTTACGCGTGCAAGTGTTTGTTATTCGGCGCTAAATGCCACTTATGATTTTTTACCTTTTTCATCACATAATCTAAGTATATATGTATAGTCTGTAGTAATTTAATACTTATGCTTTTTTTTATTATTTTATTACATTATTTTATTTTGTTATGTTGTCCACGTAAGCCCGGTAATGTAATTATGATGTCCTCTATTTTGGTCCGCAGTACGGAAATTTCTCTTAGAAATAAGCATTACCTTTTGTTTCAGTTTTCCGTTTTACTAAATGTGATTTGTATTTTCCTGTGCAATAAATAATTAAATAAATAAACAAAAAATCTTACCGGTAGTATGCAGCTCGCCAGTTTGATCGTCGTAGCGAATCATATGTGTTTTGTCAAGCTCCATAGCGGCTGTAGTGATGAGCTGACGCCGTTTCGTCTCCAACATTGGTTCCATACACACGTCGTCATATCCTAGACCGTAGACCTACATCAAATTAAACAATAAAATAACAATCGAAAGAACGAAAGCGACGCAAGAAATGGCAACAACGCGTGAAAGCTGCATGTTTACAAAAAAATGCCCAATTTAAAGTGACTCGTAATTTTTTTATTCGCGACCGGTTGAAAATGTCGTTACCATCATCATCATCATCAACTCATTTACATGTCCCACTGTCGAAAATGTATATCCATATAAATATACGTTATAAAATAATACAAGTTTCATTCACAAACCTTTGAAAAAAGTTGGAGAAATAAAAATTTATGACAAAAAAAAACCGACCTCAAAAGTTCGTGGAATTACATCTATTTTGATTGAAATCGGTTACCGGAAAGTACGCGAAACCAGATTCTTCCCCAAGTTTGCCACCCTTAGAAGTGGAATATTTTTTCGAATTTAAATGGGACCAATACTGAGGTACAGTCATATACACAAGATACCTGAAGTCTTGTCATACAGAACAATAATTTCTAATTTTAATAATTCCGTTAAGTGCCGCAATTAAAACAAAAAAGAAAACTTTGAAAGTTACTAAAACTTTTAAATTAATTAAAACTGAATAGACAAATAGGAACGAAACGTGCAACAATGCGTAATCACAGAAGACACAATCACATGCAAAATGCAGAGATTTCGTGATTTGTTAATCTATCCATACCCACCCTACGCTTTATTAATAATACCTGTGTGGGTACCCACCTTAAGCAATTTCTAGTGAACAAATATTGTGATTTGTCAACTTTAACATTAAAAAGTGAAACAATGCTGTTAAAAATATAACGTTAAAACAAAACAGTGCTCGTGGGATTGAACCACGGATATAGTAACTGGCAGTCGACACAACAAGCCGCTCGACCTTCTTCTTACTTCGAAGTTAAATGACGAAATTTAGCATTGCTTTTAAAGATGTGTTCATCATCTTCAAGCAACACTCCACTGTATTGCTTACTCAATAAAGTTGAATTTTTTTTAATTTTTTCTTTGTTCAATACGTAACATGGGTCTCAGAACCAAAAGGTCGGTTTGGGCATGTTAGGGCGCGTTCCCACTATGTCGTGACGACAGATTGTAGTGCAGTGCAGTTTACAGTGTCGTGGCTTGTATATTTAAATAAAGTTCTTCACATATAACACGACACGATTAACTGTCGTTCACGATTTCTTATCGTTACAACGACAAACTGTCGTCACAGTGAGAACAGCTAGAACGACAGTCGTCAGACGATAAAAAACGTCACGATAAAAACGTGACGACAGATTGTCGCAGCTCCTATTGTCGTCACGATCTAGTGGGAACAGCTAGTCACGACGGTCGTTCAACGATAAAAAATCGTCCACGACAGATAGTCGTGATATGGGAACAGGCTAGACACGACAGTCGTCCAACGATAATAAATCGTGACGACATAGTGGGAACGCGCCCTTAGGGGGTCAGGTATCTCATGTATGACTGTACCCTTTTTCCAACAAAAAAGAATAATCAAAATCGGTTCACAAACGCCGGAGTTATCGCGTAACATACATACAAACAAAAATACTGTCGAATAGAGAGCCTCCTCCTTTTTTTTAAGTTACTTAAAAATACGTGAAAACATATGGAAGGCATTGTAAATACTTGTTTTTGAACGTAACACGACTTTAATATTTCAACATTTTATTTTAAGCCTCGTTTACACTTGCCATGATTTCTTCAGCGATTAACTTAAAATAGGATTTTTTCGTCCCGTTTAATGAAATGATTTGTTGGTAGGTCAATATCCTTGTAAAAAGGTGAGTCCATCAGCATTAAAAAATATTAGTCAATTTTGTATGAAAAATATATTAAATTTGACTAACTTCTTCTGTCCCGATTTTTTTCGTCCCGTACAATAATAAATACTACTGTACGTATGTGAAAAGTCCGTTATTTGTATGAATTTGCTGAAATGGAATTTATGTGGCCGGCCTTCCTTAAGGAAATTGAAAAATAAAAGGAAGAAATTGTAAATTGAAGTTACGTTCAAAAATAAATGCTAACAATACATTCAACATTTATTAAGTATATTTTAAAAATCGTATCTTTTTTGCACCATTTTTACCTCACTCGTGCGTCGTAGTGAGTCTAAATACTAAATATGTGGACCCAACTATACTTATCTTAGAATAATATCTCTGTACTACAAAATAACACAACCTATAAAAGAAAGTGTAGCTTATATCAACTTTCCCTAATTAAAAAAAAAAAAAATCATACATAATTAGAAACTATATGGAAATACAAATGAAACCCTGTATCTGCGATTGATGATTGTCTACTTTTTTTAGCTGATCCAGGAGTGTATGGAACTTGGGCATTGTTCTTAGACGACAATAGTGGTTCATCGGTTACCAATGTGGTAGCTAAATGATGAAGCCCCTGGTTCTATTCTCATTTTTTTATTATTTTCTATGATAGCAAGTGACGAGACGAACAAGTCGTGAGCGTGGCAGTAAGCGGCACGCCTGTCCATAACAGTTGCAGTGCCACTCAGAACTGTTGCTGTTTACATTAATCCTTGGCGGTAGAAATATGTAGGTGAGGTGACAGTATTTCCCTGGAAGAACTCTTTCACAAGGTGCTCTACTGTTACTAAATAGGACATTTTTAAATATTGATTACGATCTAGGTGTTCTGGTTAAAGGAATTTCCTTGCACTTGTACTCATAGTGCTGGGACTGCCTAGACACTTTTAAGAAAGGTTGTTTAAAAGAGTGAGAGTTAACACTTTTTTGTGCTGTTTACCTGTGGGTTGATTCTCATGCGCACGAATAAGTATGTGTAACTCAGCCATTCCACCGCTTCATCGATATTCGTCACAGTTCCTAGCGCCACCTGGAAAAAATGTCATAATTAAAGAACCATTATAATACTTTTTTATGTATTAAACATTTTGAAAAATGTTTTTATTCAAATGATTATATTGAAACTACATAACATACTATGACTGCTTCCTTGGCGTAACGGTTACCATGCCCATACTGGTCTGCCACGCAGAGGTTTCGGGTTTGATTCCCGGGCCGGGAGAAATATTTGTATGTACACTTATTTCTCTCGTAAGTTTGGGTGTAATTTGTGGTGTTACATGTATGTGTCCATGGTACCCGCAACATAGGGTTTCCCTAGCGCGGAGCTATGAGTGTGTATTTACAACAATATACTGACGATACTATTGCCATTTATAAAGTGTGGGACTAAATTACTAGCGAGATGCAACAAATTAAAATACAAAATTTGCTTTAGTATAGTCCCGATGCGGAAGCGTGCTGATGCAGTACAGCCTTAGCCTGTAACTTAGCATATTGTTAATTAAGCTTCTCTTATGATCTATGTCCCATACCTCGGCGTTCAAATGGTCAGCTAATAGGTTAATAAAGTTGCTCTCAATCGGGAACTGGTTCATCATAGATTTGAGGTAATGCGACAATTTGTCATGCGTAGTTATGATGATGCCCGTGCCGGAAGTGTCGAACTGGGGACGGCCGGCGCGACCGAATATTTGTAGCACATCCAGTATACTGAGGTCCACAAAAGATCCACGGTTCTGGTCATACAGCTCAGTACCCTGTGGATCCAAATATAGCGGTTTATGTTTGTTGAAATAATGGTAATAACAATATTACACAACTATCATATTACTTACACAAGTAAGTCTTAACTTTTCTATAGGCGTAGTAGTGTAGCTTTCGGATAAATATACGGAAGCGAGACGTGTTACACGAAATATTTCATTACGTTTCAGAGTCGTAGTACTGCAGAAAAGTTAAAGTATGAAATTGCCGATTTGTACTGAAAATCTAAATTGTTTATTTTTTAAATTTTTAACAAATTTATTTAATCAAAATAGTTGCCATTATTATCTATACATTGCTGCCATCTAATGGGAAGGTTATTAATGCCTTTGCGATAGAACTCCGACGATCTAGACTGCACAAACTGTGTGAAAGCATTTTGTACTGCCTCCTGGGAAGAAAACTTCTTGTCACGTAGATAATTGTCCAAATCACGAAAAAATGATAGTCCGTTGGAGCAAGGTCTGGTGAATACGGAGGATGACGAATGGTTTCTAACTGCAGTTCCTGAAGGGTCAAAATGGTTTCTCGTGCTGTGTGAGGTCTCGCGTTGTCGTGGAGCAATAATGGTGAAGATCGATTCATGAGTCGGGGCTGTTTTACTGCTAGTTTTGTCAACATGGTTCGGAGTTCGGCACAATAGACATCTGCCGTTATTGCTTGACCAGATCGGAGAAAACTATAGTGAATAACACCATGCTGAGACCACCAAACAGTTACCATTACCCTTTTATTGGTAAGTTTTGCTTTAGGACACTGTTGTGGCATTTGACCTGGGGTCAGCCATTGCATTTTTCTTTTCCGGTTATCATAAAGAATCCACTTTTTATCACATGTTACAATTCGATCCAATATTCCTTCATTTCTGTACCGGTTCAACAAGGCAACACAAGTTTCAACACGCGTTTCTTTCTGCAGATCAGTCAAATCATGAGGCACCCATTTTTCGTATTTTTTTATTTTATTGATTTGACGCAAGTGAGTCAATATTGTGGGTAAGGTAACGTTAAACCATGCCGCTAATTCCTGGGTAGTTTGACTAGGATCGGCTTCCACTATCTCTCTTAATTCATCGTTATTCACCTGTGTGGGCGGTCTTCCTCGTGGCTCGTTCTTTAAGTCGAAATTTCCATCACGAAAGCGTTTAAACCAAAATCGCACGGTGCGTTCATTAGTAGACCCCTCTCCAAACGCAGCATCGATATTGCGGGCTGTTTCTGCCGCGTTAGTTCCGCGTCGGAACTCGTATTCAAAAATCACTCGAATTTTCGCAGTATCCTATCCATCTTTCTTGTCTAAATTGAATAACAAAAACAATTGAAAGTCGATATTCAAATGTTTCAAATTTAAAAAAAAAAAATCACAGAAACCATTTGAAAAAAGTTTCATTCGAAAACCTCAAACCATGAAGATTCTATGAAAATTCAAAGAACCTATTGCAATAAAACGGCAATTTCATACTTTAACCCCTAATATTTTTATTGCACATATATGAAACGTAACGACTTATTAATATCATCCCAAAGAAAATAATCAACAAAAAAGTTGACTAGCCTTTGGAATAATATGACCAATTTGCACAATACATATTATATGCGAAATTACCCTTATGATAACAGCGTGCGCTGGAAGGTTGACTCCCCAAGCTAAGGTGGCAGTGCATACAAGCACTTTAATGTAACCTTCAGAGAAATATTTTTCCACCATGTTTCTGTAATAGAATAAAAACAATTTTGTCAATAAAGTCCATGCAAAGGTTGCAATTTGGCATGAACATACATGTGTTGGTATTTGATGGTAAGCTCAGCCCTGCATACTCGTTAGTCCATAAAGATATGCGATCGTCGTAAGTCGAAGACTTGCGATCGTTCGCATCCAGGAAAAGCCTATATACCCTATACCCTACCTTTTCTTTGATAGTTTTAAGCAATTATTTTAAATGTTATATATTTCGTGTTGAATAGTGTTTTATTTTTAACCGACTCCAAAAAAAGGAGGAGGTTCTCAATTCGACTGCATGTTCGTTTTTTTTGTATGTATGTTACGCGATAACCCTGGTATTTGTGAACAGATTTTGATGATTCTTTTTTTGTTGGAAAGAGAGTACCTCCATAGTGCTTCCATATAATTTAACCTCTAAGGGTGGCTGTTCACGCATGAAGATTCATTTTTCAACTGCTTCCGTGGCCGAACGGTTACCATGCCGGACTGCCATGCAGAGGTCCTAGGTTCGATTCCCGGGCCGGGAGAAATATTTGTATGGCCTACATTTATTTGTCTCGTGAGTTTGGGTGTAATTTGTCATTGTCTATTTGTGTGTCCATGGCACCCGCGACACAGGGTTTCCCTAGTGCGGGGCTATGTCGAGTGTGTGCGTTATTATTATTATTATTATTATTTTTTATAAATAGCGCCTAAATTTTAGTATAAGGAGCAATTATTTTAAAGGTTGATTTTGCTATTCTTCAATTCAAGGCGTTTTTCTCTCTCAATACACTTTGAGTAGTGAGAACCGATTTTTATTATCTCATGTGTCAAGTCCCGTATAGTGGCGAACTAGGGGATGAATCCGGGTTTGCGCACTTTCCGGGAACCGATTTCAATAAAACTTGGTAATTCCACGTACTTTTGAGGTCGGTTTTTTTAGTACTCTGTACTGAGATTATTTATTTATATAGACAGGCTTTCTAAAATAGCGGCCTATCTCAAAATAACTTAATTTATCGCAAACGAAACCAAATATTGTGTAACTCAAAATTGTGGAATTAAACAACACAATTTAAAAAAAAATCCGAATGAAAACGATATGTCCAGGGTGTAACAGAAAGGTGAAGTCATATTAAAGGACCCAAATGTGTTCTTCTTCTGTGCAAAATTTCAACTAAACAGTTGAAAGAAATTTAATGAAAAGTAAAAGAAAGTAATTTTTTCAATCGATACGTTTACGTCACAGCTCTATTGCTCTATTTGCGTTAATGACGTGTACGTAGTTCATTCATAAAAACCATTCAATATGTGTCGGCGCTGCGTGTCGCGTTCCGTCCCAAACCAATCACCGATAAACAAAATGCAATCAATATACCCTAACGGTATTTTAAATCCTTTTCAGTTGCACTTATGTATGTCGATATTAACAACTAAACAATTATTACGTAATCTAATATCAATAATTTTATTGTTTTATTTATCAAAAACATAAGATTGGAGGTTTTTAAAGGTATTTAAGTACATACAATTTTAATACAGTAATAGCAGTACAGTTAGATTGGTGATAGTGATAATTAGTGTCCCATTGAACACACAATTAATAACAATAATGTGCCTGGCAATGACATCAACTAACTAGTCTCAAACTATCCCGAGTTTCCTGTTCTATGAGTACCAGATCAACAAAATAAGCTCCGGGAAATTAACTCAGACCTTACCCGAAACTAAACCTGAAATTAACTATTTTTCATATTGGTTTTACCGGAAACAAAACCCTGGATCTTCTCATCCATCGCTCACGGTCCTAACCGCTGTGACCTACGAGAGTTGTCACTCATAAAAATATTTACATACGACTTTGCGGAACTGCCGCTTGAAAATAAAAAGAGGAAGACATGAGATGTGTGAGCTGCATTCACTACGTGCAAGAAAGAGATAGAAGCGTGCAATATTCAAGGCTTTGTAATTAGAATTTTGTTGTACTTGTTTGAAACTTTTCTACTCAAGTCATCATAACCACTCTACTTTAAAGTGAAATTTATCGGCGTTAAAAGTTTATTTTCAGCTTGTGAAAAATCTCTCAATTTTTGTATTCTCGTTAATGCCACTTGGGAGATTTTTCGACGTAGTGCAGGTTTCGTTGTGGCGCACTTTCCCGGTCACTTTAACTTTATAGAATGTACTAACGGATGAATAAATAGATCGCCTTTTAGTGATCATGGATGCCAAGGAATTGTGCCACCAATCCACCAGTAACAATAATGAATTTTGGACTACAATTAAATGTTAAAAAAACCCATTTAAAAATTAAATTTTTAAATGGGTCACATAATTATTATGAAAGAAATATGTGTAGCATTTCCAAGACATTTACCTATGGGCCAGAAGGACTAGAGCTTCAATGCGTCTTTCGGGTTTAGTGAGTGATCAGCTGATCGAAATTTTACGTCCTGAAATTCCCTTAAATAACAAAGTGGGGCATAAAATAACAATGAAAACGTGTTTCACACCTATAACTACATATGATCTTGAAATACATAAATATTTTTTATACAATATATATGTATATATATTATATGAGCGATTGTAAATGGATAATTAAGTATTAAATATGTATAAATAAAAATAATCACATTAATCGCAATAAGTTCAGTATTATTTTTAAATTATCAAATTTGTTTTTTCAATTCCAAAACTTTTGAGTCACAATAGCATTTCTTTCATGTGCGTTATGAGGAATGATGGTTACAGATCGAAATTCATTTAAAAAAGAATCATATCGGCCTAATGTTGTCACATGATTATTTGAACCATGGAAAGTTCGGTGTCCTGTTCAAAATATAATATATCACCCCCCCTGAATACAGCTAGAACTGCTTTGGGTAACTATTCTTGAAAAGTGGCGGTAGGAAGAAAGTATAGATAATTACATGAAATCTACTCCATTCTCGCTTACACTGTAAAATATTCAATGAGTAGATCACCTGTCACTGCGCAACATGCCGGCGTGGTGGCACGCAAATCCAGCAGCGAACATTTCTGACAGTTGCTTATAAGGGCTAGTGCTTATAGACTTTTTGGCCTTTAAGAATCCAGCGGAATCGTCTGGCTCAAAATATTTGGTATGTCCATTTTTCTGTGCTAATTCTTTGAGTATCATCGCCGTATTGTGTGTAGCGTTGCGAGCGTGGACAAATACCATGACTTGATGCCCTTGTTTCACCATGTCCACAGTTTTATCATAGCATAGCTCATTCATAGTTTGCATCTGAAATTATTAACGTGATAGTGTTTAATATGCCTTTTAAATAATTAATACGATGATTGAAGTGAAAAGTCATTCGTCGCGATGCAAACACGATTTAAACGCGATACTAACTTATTTACTTAATGTATTTATTAATTTCGCTTTTAAATTTATAATTAACAAAATAATGTACATAAACCTATACAGATTTTTCGTAGATAATTATTCAACATAAGCGACTACATCGATATAATCGCGCGTTTGTATCGCTGCTAAAAGCCGCCGTGTTTTAACCACTCTAAGGGTTACCTTCAATGGCGCAGCGACACGTTCAAAGAAATGTATATTTTATTTGGTAAAAAATATTATTAAAAATGTTATATTATTAATACAAAAACCGAACGCTAACTAAATCTAACAAAATCCTTCAATCCGGCCGGATTCGAACCGACGTCTCCTAGCAAACCAAAACAACAAACAAAGAAAATACGTTCCTTATTATTTTTCATCCTGCAAATAGCGCGCGGTTCCTTTCAAATTTTTTTCAAAGAAATGTATTTAGTAGAAAATACAGTTTATGTTGCAATGCTTGTTTTTTTCCTATGTAGCATGTATGTAGTTAATTATTTATTCGCATATCGGCATTGTTTAGTATGAATTTTCATTCGCAATGCGTTATCAATATTAAAATTTTCAACATTCAATTAATTTAGGTTAAATTGCAGACTTAAACAATAAAAACCTATAGTAGGTGTAGTCACACGAGTTGCATTCTGAATGAATCACAATTACAAATTAGCTGTTGGAATGCAGTCTGCACGCTAGCAGCACGTGTGACTACGCACTAAGAAATAGAAAACAACGTGTACACATTTTTAAATCTAATTCAAAACCGGATTGCTAAATTTCGGCAGTCACATTAAAAGACGCTAAATTATAAAAGCATTTATTATTTACCTCGCAACTTAACATTCGCATATTTCAGGCAATGTTTTTGTAAGTGTACAACAAAAGCTTTTTAAAATGGTTTATATAGAAAGTATCACAAAACATACCTGTCTAAGATAGACTCCACCGCCGCTGCCGATTGCCTTCACACCAATGAATTGTTGTTCTAGTGGCACTGGACGGAATCTCGAATCGAAATAAAACAGGCCTATGTTTGGATTCACTCGTAAGAATCTGAAAAGCATAATTTGTACATATAATAATATTCTTTTTACAAATTTGAAAATTATTTTTAAAATAGAAAACAAGACTCTGAGCCCGAGTAAATTTATTTTACTTAAAAACTTGTCAAGGTCCTATTTAACTTTTAAGAAATTGGATGTTTGTTGTACACCTCTGTGATATAAATAGTGGTCACGTTTCATATGAAATAATGAACAAGAAACCACAGGCGTGTATGGAGACATTGAAGATATTTCCAGTTGGAGGAATGTGGTGTCTGCCTATCTCATTGTGAAAGGTTATTTGAATAATTTTAGTATAGAGTACTAAAAAAATCGACCTAAAAAGTCATTCATCCTCTTGTTTGCCACCCTTAGAGGTGGAATAATTTCTTCAAATTTAAATGGGACCATTTCCGATATATTCTCTTTTCATCAAAACAAAAAAAGAATCATTAAAATCGGTTCACAAATGCCGTAAATGTATAGCGTAACATAAAAAAAATACAGTCTAATTGAGAACCTCCTCCTTTTTTTGAAGTCGGTTTAAAATAGACAAAATTGTATACAGGCCAACGCAATTATTTTCTTAAAACAAAAGAACTGTGTAATTCTCAGAGAAAACCAAAAATTAAAATTACCAGTAGAAATAAGGCTACAATATTTTTTTTACCTTGCTACGTCGACGTAATTTGGCAGTGTGGCGGATAAACCAACGATCCGTATCATGTTCTGCGAAGATTCGACCTGCCGCAACGTCCTCGCCACAATCGCCTCAACAATGGGGCCTCTGTCGCCGTGCAGAAGATGTACTTCGTCTATGATTAATAGCTTTACGATTGATGCTAGTTCCGTTTCAGCTGAAAGATGATTTATTTAATTTGGTAGGCTGCACTAAAACTGTGTAATAAAACCATGATATTATAATCGGCTTTAATAGTGAAGGAAAATAACGTAATGAAATCTAGTACATTCCATCGACTTTCGAACACGTGTGAAGTCCTGGACATACATTAGACCAAGGACGCGACGTATTTACTGAATCAAACTATCATTCAACAAAATATTTTTTATTTTTTAAACTCACTGGCGCCTTTCCGTGTAACAACGTCCCATTTCTCGGGAGTCGTAACAATCATTTGCGTTTGCAGCACTTCGGATTTGGTCAGTTTCATGTCACCAGTTAATTCACGTACGGATATTCCTAGACCTGCGAGCCGTTTGCCGAAATTCGTCGTCATTTCTGAAGCGAGTGCCTTCATTGGTGCTATGTAGATTATCTGAAAGAAATATGTTAAAGTTTAGTAAATCAAATAATAGTAGTCAAAGTAGAGCAACCATCAAAATAATACGTAGACCAAATCTATACTTTGAATTTATTCTTCAATATGACATTGTTTTCAATGTGCTGTTTTATCTGATGGACGACGGTAAGCAGCGCGATGTTGGTTTTACCAGCGCCGGTCGGAGCACAAATTAACAAATTCTCGTTCGTATTATATGCTGTCTGGAACACCACTGACTGTATTCGATTTAGCTCCTTTATATTTTCAAACACTATTTGACCAATCTGAAAATTAAAGACACATTTAATCAACGAAAATCTGTTGCGAAATCAAATTGCTGACTAGGTAAATCTGATGTGTGATTTAACTTCACGTATGGTTGTGATAAATACGTATAAATTCACCTCATCTAAGTCAGATATTTGCACTCTCGTATTACCAACAGATAAAGGTGGTGGTTCATTTATGGGTATAATTACTTCTTCGTATTCTTTAGTGTCCTTTCTCTTTACGTCTTTGGGTAGCAACATTTTTAACCCTGATATGAAACCTGTAAGAGCACGAAAGAAGCCATAGTAAGTCTTAGCTAAAATTAAGAGCTAAATGCCTTCATGATGGAGCTGATTAACAATAAGTAAACATATTGCATAGTCATGGTGAATTGTCGCCTTGCCGCATAAGACGAAAAATAGCTCATTAGCATATCCACTACTAATCTGTCAAATGTTTGACGATAAACAACAAGAATTGGGGTATACAAATTTAAAAAGCACACAGTAGTACTCAGCCAAGAATTAAAAGTAGTTGTTTTCTTAATTTAACTTACCAGCCGCATTTTTGGAATCTAGCGATGAATCAAAAACATTGGGGTATTGTACTTTGGTTTGCTTGTATGAAATTTTTCGCAAAATGGGATCCGAGTCCTTAGAGGATCCCGAGGTGGAAAATGGCACAACAGGTTTAGAGTATTCCGCTAGCCTGCAAAAAATCTATTGTTGTAAATAAAAATATGGCTCTGTTTCACTATTAAATAATAATGATTCTCGATACTGTAGCTCATAGCCATTGGTAAGATGTCTTAATTCTGTCGTAGAAATCGGAAATGTTACGTACATTCTCGCTCTGGCTTGTGAGACATTAAACTCTGGTTCTTGTTCTTCTTTTAACTGCATTTTCCTTGCTTCCTTTTTTTCTCTTTTCTCTTCTTTCTGCATGAGTTTTGCAATCATCTTTTCTTGTTCAGACTGCACTGAGACTTGACAGAGATACTGAGGAAACGTTGGCTTCTCCTCATACACTATCGGTGTCATTTTTACTGTAACGAATTAAACACGAAGAACAAATGATAAAATTACATTTTCTTGATGATAAAGTATTTAAATTGCTACTTACACCTCCTTTTCTTTTTATATTTGCTTGGATGTGCCTTTGCTTCATCTAAAATCCGTTGTTGCGCTAACAGTTTACAATAATATAAAATAATGTTTGTTATGACAACTGAATGCTGTTACATAACACAAAATATAGACTTCTATATACCTTCAACTGAAGTGAACGAGGTTGAGGTACTTGGCTGTGGTTTCCATCCTTTTTGTGTTAGCATTAAAGTTAGAAGCAAAGGTTTGTCAATTTAATACAAAATATATTAGGAATGAAATGAAATTTTGCGTATTGGAAGTAGAATAAAGGTAATTGATCCAACATTTAATGTCAAAAACTGGTTAACATAAGGAAATTAAACTAAATATCACTTACTATCTTTTTCTGGTTCAGTCTTAAGCTTCAAATTAGCTAGAAGTTCTTGGCGATGCACAAGCAAGTCTTGAATGAACTCAATTTTGTCAAAACCCAAAAGGTCAAACATGTCATTCTGGATTTCTTCGTTGCTCCGAGTTGAGTGTATCAAGTTCAAAATAGACTGAAGCATTGGTGCATAGTCATCAGGGAATAGTTCCCTAGTTTTCTCTTGGATCCAATCCCTGCCATACTGGAATAGTATAAAATAAAGTTTAGAATGATGATTCCTTTTTATAAGCAATATTGGAATTGTAGTAGTAAATCACAATATATTTGATTGAAGAGTAAATCAATATGTTTCGTGAACTAGCATCATAAATTTCTGGTCATACCTTAGGTTTGGTTGTTGAGGCAGTTTCAACTTTACCAGTTTTATTATCATATTTCATAGAAAAGTCTCTGATAAAATTACTGTCAGTTGCTGGCTTCGATATCATCTTGGGCAGGTTTTTTTTATTAAGAATATATGGAACACATTGGTAGTGTATGTGTTCACCCCACAACGTTGGTTTCTTTGCAGGCTTATCTTTTTTTGGTTTCAGGATATATTCTATTGTGTCATCTGATAATTCTTTTGTTATATCTGCGACAAGCTACAATACAAAATTATAATTATTTGTTGGGCAATCAATAGGCTTAGTGCCTCTTTCATATTCAACTTCTTTCAGTACTAAAGGTTAGAGTTGCTCACAAAAAGGCTCGGCCATATTACAACTGGTGATGGTACTCTCGACAACAAACAACAAGTTTAAGTTTGCAGAGAGAGCCTTTTTTTAAGTAGATTATGATAATGATACCAATAAATATGTATGTCGCAGCAAAAGTCGCTTTTTCATCAGTATTAAGACGTAATATAATGTTTATCATAAAATTTATTTCTAAAATTGTGAATGTTAATATTACCAGTATCAATATGAACAAGAAAAGTGATTGATGGACCATTTGGATGACCAGGAAAAAGTAAAGCCAGGTTTTCACTATATGAGTATGTTCAGACCGAGTCCACTTGGAGGACTACTCTGACACTACTCATAACATGTAAACACGTGACTGGAGCTCATGCGGACATTGGCATCCATTCAACATGTCACAAGTGGTGTCCAAGTAGCCATCTAAGTGGTTTCGGTCCAAGTGTACTTGTATAGTGAAAACTTGCTTAAACCACCAGCTGGCATGTAATCGCACCTTTTATATTATAAATTATTAACATTAATCATGGCATCCCTTTTACACATTGCTTAAAAAAATGCAGAGTTCTCTGCAGGAATGAGAATGGGTTTCCTTATTTCAATGTGTAGGTTGAAGTAGCAATTGCACAAATAAAATTAGTAGGTGCATAAAGTAATAATAATAACACACATACACTCAACATAGCCCTGCACTAGGGAAACCCTGTGTCATGGGTGTCATGTACATACACATAGACAACAACAAATTATACCCAAAATCACGAGAGAAATAAATGTAGGCCATAGAAATTATTTCTATGGGCTCGGGAAATGAACCTGGGACCTTTGCGTGCCAGTCCAGCATGATAACCGTTCAGCCACAGAGGCAGATAAAGTGACAATATCTAAGTATATTGATTTAATTAAGTACAATTTAATTCAAACTAACCAGACGTATCTTGTTTGCTGTAGCCTGGCTGACATCCCCAAACATTGTTCGTAGGTTTAACATGTGCTTCATCATAACTATGTCTTCTTGCATAAACATTCTCAAAGACAGAATAACAGCGTCATCAACTAAGTTACTGGGATGAAAATCACTCAAGCTAACACAGGTCTCTCTCAATTGCTCCAAGAGTTTGAGGATCTTACTTGACTGCAGTTCATTTCGTTTTATATATCCACATAATTCCTCATATGTTCTATACCTATAGCAATATTTATATGTTTAATTTCTTTTATGTGTCACAATTTGTTATCAGATTAGTAAGTAATGGCAAGTACACAGGTTGTCATAGTAGTTGCACAAGATCATGCAAAATATTGTGAAATAAACAAATGGTTGCAATTTATTGAACATAAGCAAAGCATTTTACCTTTTTTTCTGTTTTTTTCGTGACTTTGTTTTGTGCTTTGCGGTGGGTGACGAGATGAAGGGCGACTCGAGTAGTGTATGTACCCTCAAGGCCCGAGTTATACGAGGTAAGTCACGCATGGTTGTCTGTGAAATAAAATAATAAATACACTATTAACGTATCAAACAAACACTGTACAGCAACAATGCGAAGATTTTAAAAGTCATTAATAAGGATTTCATAGGTGCGTATCGCTTTATTTAGAATGAATTACTTACCGAAACTTTAATGCAGTTATGGAACTATGCGGTTGAATTTGAGTGATTCGAAATTGGGATAGATTAATAAAATTTTTAAAGGTAAAGTGTAAATTGGTAACTATGTACTAATAAATATCAAAATTTTAAACAAAGTATCACATTTTCAATACACGTTATCTTCGACCAAAGTTAAAATTATCTATTTTCAACTTTACAAGATGGATTTACTGGATACACGTCGGACATAGAGTAGAAACGTCAACGTCAATATGATGTTTTTTTTTTTTATTAGAGGCAAACGAATTTTGCATTACCATTTTACACTAATATTTGACACAAGGTAGTTGAGCACTTTATTCGGTGATTATCATTATAAGCTGTCAGTTGAGTTACGCAATAGGCCTGCAGAGATTGGCAAGCACCCGGGTTTGAACCCAACGGTTTATTAATTTCTTTCGTGTTATTATATATATAATATATTTATGTTATATATATTATATATTATTCTTTCTTTCGGTTTAAATCGGGTTAATACCCATTATTGCGCAATATCTAAGGCAAAAATGATTTACTACTATAATAAATATTTGTTGTTAATCGTGTTTCGTTCAAATTTAATAATATTATTACAAAATGTTTATTGCTTTCTGATCTCTAGACGATTCGATTTGCCTTTCTTTAGAATTAGTACGTTTGATCGAAATAAATTGATACAAAAAATCGTTAGATCACGAGTGGTGTCCAAGTAGCCATCTGAGTGGTTTCGGTCCAAGTGACTCGTATAGTGAAAACCTGGCTTAAGCCACCAGCTGGCATGCAATCGGATCTTTTTGTACAACCAGCAAACAATGTACATATTGTAACATTAGCACATTGACTTAGTCAATGCATTAGCACCATTGACTTTCAATTATATGGACGTCGGGTCCACGCTAAAAAGTGTCCGAACTTATAGGGCGTTAAAATCGTATACAGAGCGTCATTACGCTCTAGTCTTCATTTGTTCGACTGACAGCGAAGCAAGCAAGATTAGACAGTACTGCGATGACATTACAATATAAATTCAACGTTTTAGCTTTTTCATATTCCTTAACGTGTCACTACGTTTAAATAGGTTGATTTGAGACATTTTTTTCGTGGTTTTTGTATTAGACCCGTCGTCCATTTATTTGTAAGTCAATGATTAGCACCTAATTTATTAACATTAATCATGGCATCCCATTTACATTTTCCTTAAAAAATGCAAAGAGCTGCAGGAATGTGAAAGAGTTTCCTTATTTCGACGTATAGGTTGAAGTAGCAATTGCCGAATAAAATTAATAGGTACATAAAGTAATAGGTAATAATAATAGCACACAAACTCAACATAGCCCTAGCCATAGCCATAGCACTAGGGAAACCCCGTGTCGCGGGTGTCATGTACACACACATAGATAACAACAAATTACACCCAAACTCAGGAGAGAAATAAATGGAGGCCATACAAATATTTATATGTATATCTCTCCGGGCCCTTCAATCGATTTTCGTAAAAATCGAATCGTAATGTGCATTAAGAATCCATAGGATAGTAATTTGTTTTTTATTGTAATCATCACGTCACGATCATCTAAAAAGATCTTTTACATCAACATTTTTATTAAGTAAATTATACCAAATTATTTGTAAGTATTCGCCGTTTCTGCACTCGATTTTGAGCAGTATTGGATTAAAACCCGGTGATTAGGGATAAAACTAATTTAAAACCCAGGCGGGTTGAATTGATTATAACCTTCTGCCCATCTCTGGTCATGATATAACTTTGATGGGATTCAGAGCGTGATCCTCAAAACTATTGTCTAAATTCAATTTGTTTTGATACACATTATGTAACTAATTTCAGAGGACTCAAGACATTTCTTGTACGTAGGACTGTTCTTGTAGTTTTTAGAGCATTCTAAGTTGTAGTTCAATTAATAACGCGGTGCAGTGACAGATAGATAATTTACTTAACTGCATATCCGCTTCCGAATTTCTTTTTCTGTGTTCAGTCTGCTCAGTTTATTAAAAATATATTCTCTATTTTTATCCAAAATCAATCAATTTAGTGTGATTACCGTGTAGTGTTATATAAGTTTTTCAGGCCACTTTTTCTTCGACGTTACCTACATTACATACCTACATACAAAATAAAAATGAATGTTGTTGCCTGTTTATCTAAAATTGAGCTTTTTTGTTCAGAATAGTTAAGATTTCATTTTTCATGTTGAGACAGAATTCTTTTGGCATGACACCACGTGAACACTACAACACGAGCACGTTCTGAAGTTATGTGAAGATAAACATGATTGTGCTTCATAGGTATAATTGGGGGTCTTTCTTTACTTTTTTTTTAAACTGTTTATAGCTTTTTCAAATTAAACAAAAAAAAAGTCTAACACTTTGGACTTTGGTCCGTACTTATCCCAAGTACAGGGTCTAGAGCACATCAAGGTTGACACTTAAAACTTAAATCCAACTCTATAAGAACGGTCTAAAGTGTCAAACTTGACTGTACAAGAGGCATACCTACAATTTAAATTTTAGGCTTGTCGCATTCATAACCCTGTACCTATGATTATTTTTGTATGTCAACTCAGTTCTTGCGTATTATGTACGATGTACTGTTAGAAGCCAATAAATGCATGTCAATGTCTTTATGTCATAATGTACATAATTGTGCAAGTATGGTGTATTTAATTTTATGTATTAGTTAAATTAAAAGCTTCTAACTGTACAAATTTTTTGACTTAACCTTTCGTAGTGGCCTGATAATTTAGTGCATAACCACATGTTCTACAATGACAAGTGTTTAGTACAAACCGTACTAAAACTATTATGTATTATTATTATATATATGTCCAAGTTCAGGTCTAGACGTGACGAGGTCGCGAACTTTACACTCAATCCCTGAATAAGACCATCGATTATGATCGAAACTAGTCGGACCGCTTCCGACTAAAATACTACGCGAGTAAGTCCCGTTACTTTTATATTATAATGTTTAGTACAAGTTTAGTACATTTTTTCGCAATGCCTACTTAGTTTGTCTAGATATCTAAAACCACTGCACAGTACGTAGGTATTGACATCAAGTGTGTAAAAAATTGGAAATAATGATGGAGGATGTGCATGTTTAGTAAATTCAAGAACTTAGTTTGTATTTACATGAATTGTTTACTAACTTAAAAACGAAATTAATTACATAATTATGTCAATCCGCAACGGAGGCTTCGTCAGGAAGAGACAAATATAAATCAGCAACAGGCTCCGTTCTTCACATAAAAATTAATTTAGCTAGACTTAGCCATTTTTATCCAACTATTACAATGAAAGAGGACCACTTTGAATCTTAGCTGGTTCAAACGTCCCCATAAACTGTTACCGCGCTGAATGGCCAACGAAATTTGTTGCGCCAAGTAAGATCCAGAGCGTGGATCACAGCTTCTTCTATCTCTAAGCCGACGACCCAACTCCTTGATGAATTCTTTGGCCTCCGCACCTTAACTCCCCGCAGTCTCAATTGCAAAAGTTGTACATCGCTGCATTGGTTCCAAGACACTGTACTTGGCATGTTTCAATTTTGCCGCATACTCTGCGGTCGACCCAGCAGATTTGGTGGTGTAAATCAGGTGGGACGGTGCAAACGTACTGATACACGTAGCGTCCCGCAAGAGGCACCGATACTTCTGCCATGGAACCAGTGTAATGCCGTCAGGTCTCTTGCCATCTGTACGGCACAACACCGGAGGCTCCAAGACACAAGACACGTTAGTCAATACCAATACCCAGCGAAATTTTAGGACATTGCCACAAAATCTGATGAATGGGGTATCAAATCAGGATGAATGTACTTACAATAAACTTAACCCATTCTATTATTGTGGTCTTAGTTTTATGAACACACATATTTGAATGTTTATGTTAAACTATTTCAAAAGAATGAAATAAAACACTGTTCACAGCTGTAACTTTTTATTCAAAGTTGCTTTATTTTACTGAAGCAATAATTACATACTTTATACGGTTTACATACCATATAACCTAACATTCAATAGTTAATCTTTTTTTGATGAGACACAATATATGGGTGCTTAAAGATTGCTTGAATTTCGATACAAGAAATGAAATTATTTACATTCTAACAACCTATTGATTCAAATTTATGAGGCTGTGACAATATTTGTCTAAGTAGTGATTTGTAATATAATGATAGTGTCGTTAATAGTTATTCGAGGTAGGAATATAACATTTTATATTCGTTTCAACATGTTAAGTTTTCTAAATAAATACTTATTATTAGTAATATTATCTAGTAAAATTATAAGTTCGTTATGTGAATGAAACAATGTCAATAGTTAAATCATGAGCTGTCTTTCGATGATCAGTTGTAAAACTTTTGATACTTCATTTTTTGAATAGGTACCCTTTGCTTTTTGTTTAGGATACGGGGCGTTTTGCATTAACTTGTCATTTAACTTTGTGACAGTGAGTCTCATTAATACTAACACCGAATTTGAAATAATATCTATCAGTTTAATAAACGCGCATAGGTATTGCACCGCGTTGGCATTGCGGTTGTCACGCGTGTGTGTTAGAGGTAGACGATTAGCGACTACATCACTACTGAATCGCTGCAGACGCACTGCTAACAGCTGCCGTATGTAGCCTCTCTAATTTCAATTTTTAAAATAACTAAGTTATTGGCTATTTGTAAATGTGTTTTTTACACATTGTTAGGTACCTATAAAGTTTCATTAAAACATTCACAAGCACAATAAACACTTCACGCGTATAATTTCATTTTATGAGTTTTAAGGGGCGATCCTATTCATAATTTGCAAAACAGTAGTACAGATTGGTTTTGGTTATTTCAATTTATTTCATAGGAGTCAACAAGTAGCGCCACGAAGATTTTGTATACATGTTTGGTTAGGTAGTATTTCGAGTAATCTGTTTAAATTCTATTAAATGTTTTTGTTGATGTATGTTTCTAATGGGGCTGACACGTTCAAAGCCCAAAATAAATAGAGTTTGTTTTTGTCTAAATTTGATTTAAACAAAAAAATCTTGTCTTTTGAATACATTTATATACTTTATTAGCCTTGTAGGTAGGTTTGGTATATCTCTTATTGGGAATTTATTTTTTAGAGACATGTAGGAAAAGTAAAACAGAAATTTTATGTATTCATAGACAGGATCTACTCAGAGTCTTTTAAACGATCTCATTATAATTCCTGATTCAACTATGCCAAGGTAGTAAAGGTTTAATGTTATTGAATATCTAAGTACATCAATTCGAATTCATGTAATGATGAACTATAAAGAGGTTATTGTAGATGGTTTAACTAATTGTTATATTTCGAATAAATAACATGAAGATAACAGCTAAAATAAACTATTATAAATATTACTATATTATATTCTATTATTAATATAATTAAAGCTTTAAAAGTATTAATTTATGCAGGTACACAATAACGATTTATTTTAAATATAATGTGCCAGGCAGCTAACGTCTATTACCTGATCTTAGACTATGAAATTCTCTGTACTGTGAGTACCAAAATTTTTGCAGACTGAAAATTTATTTCAGACTAGAATTAATTTAGAAAAGTTCATTTCCCAAATTGGTCCTACCGGGAATCGTTCCCGGGACCTCGACATTCAGCGCCCACAGTGCAAGCTATTAGGCTACCGACGACGTCATGGTGATTAAGTATACGACTTGAGATCATCAAATGGTTTTCAACGAGCAGTTATTATAAAGCACATTTTATTTTTTGGGCGTGAGCCCATATCTTAGGTTCTGGTCGTCCAAAACGTTGAATTGGGGAATTCTGCATTGTGGATTAACACGGTGACTACCCCGAAACCTCGCTATACCTATTTGTGAGCACGTAATTATGTAGCTTATTGTATACGTATAACTCGTGTGAATTATTAGCGGTAAAATCAATCGTTTTCTTAAGATAAAAACCAATACTTTTAAATCCTTAAATCCATTAAAATCTATCTTATTCACTGGTAACACAGGGGTTTGACCATATTTCAGCTGGTGATCTCGGGTCAACGAAAAACTTTAGCCCACTATTTTTAAATTTCATACCATTATTATGTTCTCCATGCCAATATTTTATGGCTCAAATTATATACACGTTTACAGATCGTCACCAACTGAATTACGAACGAACTGTTTTGTTACATTGTGTATAACTAATTTAATATATATTTTCTGGTGTGGTTTCAAATACCTTACAGTGAATGTAATTTCAGCCTCAATTTCCAAAACACAATATTTATACGGTAAGCACAAAACATTGTATAGAGCAGAACTTTAGGCGGTTTCAGTTTGATCGAACAAATTGTGAGGTCTAATTTAGCTATATACTAACTTTAGAGATATTAGAACTCATCGTTACACAGTGTCGATATAGGTACTTTATTATAATAAGTATAATATATATGGTGTGCGATTGTTTATATGAGTAGTAATTGTAATATGTCGGTTTATGATTATTGAACTTTTTTCAGGCCCGTTAGGAGTACCCTTATTTATATTTATTTCAGATATTAAAACACTATTATTATTGCGTTTCAAAAAACGAGGCATTTTCTTACTACACTAAGCGCTAAAAATATTTTTTTCTATAGTCGGGTCTCCAGCGCGGGTTTTGCTGTCAATATAGGACAATACTTTGGTTCGCTATAATCCTCGACACATTTATTGATTATAATATGTTAACCAATAATTAGTTAACAACTCGCCTCCCCCTTTCCTTCATCGTGGGACTAGACGTAGGCTGGGATTTCACCCCTATATTGTAGTAATTCCAAAGATTCGCACGAAGCGTTACGCTTCCACATTTATATATATGGCTCTATATGGAACGGCTATGGAGTGGAATTCCCTGAATGGAGACTTATTCCCTGAACGCTGTAACATGGCCCTTTTCAAGGCGAGATTCAATAGGCATTATTTAGGTGTGTATGCTCCTTGGTCGACCTCATCGCCACTTTTCATTAGATAAGATTGAAATGAAATGCGCATTTACATTTTTTATAATAATTACTCCCGCTAGCGACTCAATTGCGCTCCTTCTTCGTTTGAGCTATACCTAGTATGTTCACCCACATAATACGCGAGCTAGATTTGCCACGAGCATGCAAACAAAGTATTTGGTGAATATACTTTTATGTATTGTGTAGAGCAAAACACGCTTATGAGACCCGGCTTAAATGGCTATCAACATAAGCCATATATTGGCTCTCGGTAATTTCCCTTTATTAATGCTGTGTGTTTGTCCTTGAGGGATACCTTATAGGAGCAATAGATCGACTAACCGCACATTTGTTGCCTACCGTCTATATAACAATTTTCATTGGAAATGTCAATAGTTGATTTTAAAGCGACCCTACCTGTGCTGGCGTTTACGCGAAATAAGGTATCTGACGTGACTGTGCAAAGGTTTATGAGATATTACTATGGGATCCAACATTATTGGTATGTGAGATGGCCTATGAGACAAAACAAATTTTGCCCGAAATAAATTATTAATTATTCAAGAAAACATTTCGTGACGTTCTTTACAATTTCCGACAACACAACGCTTGAAATAAATTAACATTATCATTTCTGGCTCAGATTGATCATTGTCAAGGATCTTTTTGTTTACTAAAGATTTATTGAACGCTTCAGTACAGTCCTATATGTTTAATTTTTGGCGTATAACCATGTTTTGATAGTGTCGCTCTAAAATTAACACTGCGATTTTCCACGTGACAACTCTTTCCTAGCTAATTCCTAATTTAATTATATCCATTTAACACAAGCGTCAATAATATTTAAATATCGGGCTTATACAGCACGTAATTTATAAGGGAAATCGCCGTGCATAGTCGCGATAGATATTTTATATGTATCATAAGCAACATAATTAATAGAAAAACATGACATATAAGTAATTCATTAACTCTACTTTTAAGATTAAAACACTAAGTATTGTTAGTAGGTACTTAGAATGACTGCTTTCGTACGCCCGATCTTTAAGCACTATTGATGCGTATACTTAGCACGTTTATAAAAAGACGATAACTTATGTGTGGCTACAATTAAAACACCTATTAATCAATCTTATTTTTTTTAACATTTTCTCACTATTTTTTAAACTGTTTTACGTACAGTAAGTGTAATACACACACAGAAAAAGATAAATAGTTTAAAGATACGTTATATATATAGTAAGGGTAAACATTAAAAACACTGGCCAGATACATTTAAGTGGCTACCTATATTAGTATGTTTTGATGTGAAATTAATGGTAGATTACGGAACTTCTTGTTGAATACTTAGATAGGGGTTCTTAGGTTCAATTTCGTATTATATTTGTATTTCTATTCGCAGCAAATGTAAACAACGGTTTAAATACAAATTCTCGCTTCTAAATTGAAATTGCTATATAAGTGAATATACTACTTAAAAAACTGCTAACATGCTTATAATTAAGAAAATATTTCTGCAAAATCTAGTGACTACGCTAGCGTTCGTGAACTTATTGGTGTTTCTTGTTTGATTAACTATGTCTATAAATACCAACAATTATTATTGCTTTGGGTTATTTTTTGACAGTGTATGATGGATGAATACCTAATTATCAGTGACTAGTATAACAAGTAAACTGGTTTATATGAAAATAAATGATTGACTAGAGACCATCATATAACTTACTACTAAAACTAATCAACTATGTTCATGTTCAACATCTAAAAATGGGATTACAAAGTCTAGATAGATAATAAAGGCAAAGTCAAACGCATTATAGTCTGCCAGATAAATTGTCAAAGATTAACAATTAAATTGTTCAGAAATAAAAAATATATAAAGTACAAGAATAAACTGTTACACAATTCTTTAGAAACTTGGTCCAATATAACAAAATAAAATGTTTTATTTTGATATACGTACACATATGTAGTTATTCTCTGAACACAATTTTAAATCTTCGAAATGTGGTTTTGATAAGCCTTATTTAAATATGTAAGTAGATATAGGTACGTAGTAAATATTAGCAAGTACCCGTTTCTATAAATTAGTCATTTTTTGGTAAAGTTTTAACAAAGAAAGACCATCTAAAAATACTCTATACAAGAAACGGTGGGTTAGATATTGACAACAGTTCTAAAATATTTCAAGGATATTATTCCATATATTTAGGTACAATTGTTAATTGATATAGTTACAAAGTTAAAAATCCGATTTGATATTGATATTTAGTGTTCCAATATGTTTTATTACATGCAATGCCCGCTAAGCCCTATCCCTATAACTTGACGCTACTCTTGGATTGTGTGTGGGATATTTGAAAATAAAAGAGACGTTTCGTCCAACAGCCTGAGAGATGTTACTAATTCAGTAGCAGCCAATTGTTTAATTCTAAATTTTAGTTAAAAATATTCGCCGTTCTTTTCCCAGGGAGCGTGATTGGTTTGACGATGTAATTTGGTATCTGAAATTCGGTACAATCTTAATAGTTCTGTAGTTTACATTAGGAGCACTCATTTCGTTATTTTGACTTTTGTTACCTGGATTATCTCCTCAGGAACCGAGTGTTTACAGACCTAAAAATATAAAAATGAAATTAATGATTAGTTAGAAAACAAATATTTAAGCGATACAGGGTATTAAAGGGTCCAATAATATCATATTATACTTTGGAATATTACGATAGTGTTTATGTTTACTAAATCAAAAATTAAAATTCTTAATTTTATTTGACATTTCATTCGAATGTTATCAAAAAGGGTTTTCAATGACTACCTATGACTATTTGTGGGGTAAAGTTGTTCATTATGATTCTTTGATACCAAACATATTATTGAATCCCTTTGATACAACCTGTAGTTAGAAAAACATGACGAGCTCACGATATTCTTCATAATGTGCTTAATTGCAACGAGACAACACAATAGTACTAACTGTTTACATAGTACAGTTACATTTAGAATACGTGAACACGTACGTGAATTATACGTATTGAAAAAAAGTTGATGAATTATTATAATACCTACATGCATTTTTTTAATTAATTCAAAAATTACAGTTCACATTTGCAGTGAAGAACGGTGTACAATTTTGGAAGTAAGTACTTATGAAGTAATTGTAACTAAATGGGATTAATCGAAGCAACGCGAGAAAAGACTCCAAGGACCATATTTCCACAATCTACACCCGTTAGAATTGGAATATATTCGTCAAACAACTAATAGAGAAGATCAATAACCGGAAAGTTAGAAAATATTAAACCTACAATATTGACTGCATTTTCTACTGTCACGGGAAATACCTATTGCACGGCCTTATTTTCAAACCTTTATAGTAAGCACAGCCCTTTTCCACGCTATGTTGTTTTAAGTTATAGAAATACGGTCTGGTAAGAATTACACCCATTTAAATTTAAATTAAGAAATGCGAATGTATTGTTTTTGAAATGAAACGATTTTTCCGGATTTAAATCGTGTATATTTGTTTTTTCAAACAAACCGACGTTTCGGGCCCTTTACAGGTCCCATGGTCACGGTTGACCGGTCTAATCCGGAGAGATAGTTTCATTTCCTATGTGTAACAATCGCGAAAACCTAAGAACTTGGTATGGTTTTTGTTTCATTGCCTAATTTTATGTGAAGCAAAAGAAAATTGGGGTCTATCTGGGATAAGTATAGCATTCTTGGGGGAAAGATTAAAAAAGTCAAAGCATTCATGGCCAATACAATATATCTCGAATTATTTGTGTCTTATTGTATAGGCAGTTAAAAATAGAGTACTTATAGAGCAATCCCAGACTAAAGAATACGTCGGCAAAACAAAGCAGGAAATACCTTCAGTTAGTTGAGCAATTCATCTTAGCTTCTACGATAATGAAGTTGTAAATAATAATAAGTAAATATTTTGTTTAAAAAAACTCTTCTGGATACATTGTTTAACTTTTTTAATACTTACTCGTATATTTCAAATTTACAAATGAGAAGCTAATGAATGCTTAACGAAAATGAAGGAATATACGGCGGATGAGGTAAACATTGGTTTACTAATTTCAAAGTTTATGGTTTTATCAATTTGAGCCCGCTGAGATGTAAATAAACTGCACGTATGCATATAGCTCAAAGAGATTTAAAACAATCAACTTTAAAACAACATTTTGGTTTAACTAATGCATTGTAAACAGATTACCCCAAAATTTGATACATTATTCGATAGAGACAGATATATACGAAGTGACAAAAGAACAGACAAAGCCAACACCATTAACAACGACATAATTACCATTGCCCACTTACCAAAATAGGCTTAGTAGGTACCAATGACGTAATTAAATAAATTAACAACATACTTTATTATGATTATTCATTAATATTATAACAAGTAACTTTTAAATGAAACTTCGGTTACCGAAACTTGTTCACACAAAGTTGGCTGAAAATGTGGAAAAAATTATGGCATGATTAATCTAAGAACTAAACAACGTTTTATGCTATAAACACAGCGATATTGTCTAATGAGTGACTCGTGATCAACTCTAGTACTTACCAATAATCAGGGCCAGTATGATGATTCCGATTACCGCTGCGATAATCATCATCTGTAAATAACACATGTTTGTGAGTAAATACTGACATTGATATATGCAGTCAATCAAAGTGATTTTATTGGTACCTTTAAATTCTGCAGCCAAAACTTGCTCTTCAGTTTGCCAGCCTGTTGTTCGAATTGCGAGGCCCCCTGCTGAAGTGCATCTGAAAGATAGATTACGCCACAATTAATCTAAGTATGAATAAGTCTGAAGAAAATGTTTTTTTCTTAGATTAATGCCTTCGATTTCATGTTCCGAGTTTAGTAACGCCATCGAAAAAAGGTGTTGCCGTATAATACAGTGTATTTAGCAGGAGAGTTAGCATTGGCAATAAAGCTGCAATTACAACGAGAAGATGCTGCTGTCATTCCCAATGCTTAATCTTTTACGAAATTCAGTGGTCCAAATCGCAATGTTATCCATTGAATCAGACATCTTACCGGCTCTATCATCGAGTTCAGAAAGTTTCTGGTCTCTCTCCAACACTTTCTCCACATTGGTTTTCATGATGTCAACAACCTGAAACACGAAGTATTTTTACATTTACACTTTTATCAAAAATCAGCCGAGTACGTTTATTAGAAGGCAATAAACTCAGGCGTACGCACCTCAACTTCTTACTCACAATGTTACAACATATACCTACCGATGTAGGAGTGATATACTTATTTTTTATTATTTTATTGAGGGACGAACAGTTACACATATGAGAAAAAAATAGATATTTAAAATTAACAATATCTCAAAGTCAAAGTCAAAGTCATCTATGGTCCCCTAAATATACTATAATCAAAACAAAAAGATGACCCGGCAAACTGATATATATAAACACATATAGGTACAACAACGAAACTAAAAACAACATAATGTGGCACCATCCGTATCTCATACCTGTGTCCCAAAAATGCAATAATGTACACAGCTTCACAGGCAACTCGCTGCCTACAGTGCTTTCGCTGCGTTCAGTAACAACTTTTATAAATTGCAAGAAAAGTTATAGCTAATGCTCAACATAGGAATTATATTTCGGTTTTTAAGGTTATATAACTTCGTACATGTTTTAGACTGTAATAGCACCTTAGATCCAGTCTCCTTGTACGAGAAATCATCAGGCAAAAAGACTACTGTGAGGGCAAAAGTCGTCTCAACTCATAATTTGAGCGCAACTTAAAGTGTCTAGCTTTTATAGTATCCTAGATCCAGCAGCTTGATTTTGATTGCCTCTCCCGATCGGAAACTGCGTCTTTTCCTATACACTTTCCTTAGAATATTTGACAAATATGTAAAAATATTATGAAATTAGCATCAACAACAAAAATGAACAGATTGTTATAAAGAGTGTTGATTTTAACCAAGTCAAAACACATTTTTTTTTGTACCTCGTCAACTTGAGCTTGCGTCTGCTGCAGACGACGCTGTGCCGCGATCTGTTGCGGCGTCTTGGGCCCGCCCACTGGCATATCTCCGTCGCCGCCGCCTGGCGCCAGTCCGCCCTCAGTCGCCCTGTCCAGTAAGGCCTGGATTACCCTTATTATCGGATCACATGCTTAATATTTCATCAAATTTTAATAATAATACATCCTGTATTCCAATGTGAAATTTAGTAAAATTTTAGCAGTTTTATCTCAGGATAAAAGTAACCAAAGCTTTTACTATTCTTAAACCTACTTCATTTATAGAGTAAAACATTTCGTACATTCTCTACACATTACATATATTATATCTCTAAGAACACCATGAAATATTACGTCACGCAATATACGTCACGGTCGTCTCCCCACGGGACAGGGTCTATGGATCTCCACTTGCTCTGATGTAGACGTAATATGTAAATGACATAGTTACCTACTTAGTTTCTTTGTGAAGTTATGCATACGTTGACGATTTAACTTTTTTTTATAATACCGCCACTGCACTGCGCCCGTCACCCTGAGACATAAGTTGACAAGTTCTGTGCCTGTAATTTCACTAGCACTCTTACCCTTCCGGAACGCCTACTCCTTCACAAACCGGAACGCAGTAATGCTCATATTACTATTTGGTGGCAGTACTTCGCTATACGAATATTTTCACAATGAACTCTATTGCAACTGATTTCTTTTTATTAACCTAGGTACAAATACATCTTTTTCAGCAGGCCTAAGAATATAGCTGTTCAGTTTATTAATTCGTCTCCCTGAACCATGTTACGTTGTCTGTAGTGCTAAAGCAAAATTTGATTACCATTTATTGTTATAAGTGCGAGTTTTAAGTACGAGTAAGTACATGACCTTTCTTTAATATCGCAATAACTGACACAGAAGTAAATGCAGGTGTAAGAAATTAAGTTAATAACGGAGTGAAAATAGGCGACAAGTTATAATATCCGATATTATTTTCTCTATTGGTCCACGTATTGTACTGTATTGTATTTTATATAAGTAGGTGTGAAATGCATGTGTTTATATAGAAGGAGACGAGTCAGGTTGGTGTGTCGCCTTGGCCGTGACCTTGCAAGCTTGAGTTGTATAAAAACTCTCGCCGGTTCAGTGTCTATAGTTTGCTTCGGTATTCTATTCTATACAGAGGACGTCACACGGCGACACGAAAGAAAAGTAGACACATATCAAATGAGATCAAGATAATTATTTAAAATATTTGATTACATTATTCAAGTTAAATAAAAATATATGTATCTACATATAAATTTATCATTTTTTTGTAACTTATTTTTAAATTATGAAATTGACCAAAAAACATTTAACTTTTTAATATCGTCACATACGTTGCTCTGATCCCAAAGTAAGTAGCAAAAGCACTTTGTGATACGGATATCGGAAACAACGACGGTACCACCAACACCCAGACCCGAGAAAATATAAAAAAATTAGTTTTTTTTTGCACTGACCCGGCCGGAGATCGAACCCGGGACCTCATAGATGGCGACACCATGAAAACCGGTGTGCAAGCCACTCGATCATGGAGGCCGTCAACCAAATGTGAAAACAAAATCATGTATTTTTATGATGTTGATGGAAAGGGTTAATTATAATGATTACTTTCATAAACGTAACACATTAAAGGAACACCGTTCATTTATTCAAATTATTATGTAAAAACAAACTTGAAACTGCCAATGTATAGGTATTTGCAATTCTTGCAATACTTGATCCTTTTGATCGGTATCATAAAAATACTGGGTGTTGGAAATGAAACTATTATTCCGGATTTAAATCGCGAATATTTGCTTTTTCAAACAAGACGACGTTTCGAGCCCTTTATACTGGTCCCATGGCTACGGTTGACTGAGGTGGTACAGTCTTCAATCAGTTATGTCTAATATTATTAAGTAATAAAAATTCATTCCGTAAAGTAATTTGTAAAGTAAATGTAGCGTAAATTGGAATGTTTTCAATGTAAAATTAAAAATAAGGCATTTAATTAATAACTATTGTAACTGTAGTGAAACAATAGGGTGGTTTGCATTAATATTAGACATAACTGGTTGAAGACTGTACCACCTCAGTCAACCGTGACCATGGGACCTGTAAAGGGTCCGAAACGTCGGTTTGTTTGAAAAAACAAATATCCGCGATTTAAATCCGGAAAATTAGTTTCATTTCCTATGTGTAACAATCGCGAAAACCTAAGAACTCGATATACTGGGTGTTTTTAACTGACTTTAAAAAAAGGAGGAGGTTCTCAATTCGACTGTATGTTTTTTTTGTATGTATCTTACGCGATAACTCCGGTATTTGTGAACCGATTTTCATGATTCTTTTTATGTTGGAAAGATGGTAGTAAATCATCCACCTCTAAGGGTGGCTGTTCACGCATGAAGATTCATTTTTATAAATAGCGCCTAAATTTTATTATAAGGAGCAATTATTTTAATGGTTGATTTTGCTATTCTCAAATTCAAGCCGTTTTTCTCTCAATATACTTTGAGTAGTGAGAGGAATTTTTAAAACCGACTTTTTATTATCACCTGTATCAAGTCTCGTATAGTGGCGAACTAGGGAATGAATCCGCACATTCCGTTAACCGATTTCAATAAAACTTGGTAATTTTATTTTATTTTTATTTTTCTTTATTCAGGATAACAACAACCATCATAATAAAAGTGATCCTTAACTTATAGACATTGGTAAAATTAGGGTCAATTACAGTTATCCACTAATGCATAGTTGGATGAATAACAAGTAGTGGTCAATATAGGCACATAACTTAGACTAGACAGAATCAACTAATAAAAAATGAATAAAATACACTTGCTTATGAAGTAAATAAAAATAAATTGTAGATAAATAGATGCTTAAATATAATGTACACATATACGAGCATACACACATACATATAAATTATATTACACACGCGCACACACACACACACACACACACACACACACACACACACATATATATATATATATATATATATATATATAATATGTATATATATACGTACATTACATACATACACACACACACACACACATACACGAAACATAATAAACCTACTTAACAATAATAATAATTGAAATAACTTATCTGATAATCGACACACCGCACATTATATATTAAAAAAAAGTTTTTAATATATTATAGACACACGCTTGGCCACAATCTCACCAGAATTGATGGTGTGTAAATGATTTGGGTTTATATTAATGTTTAATGGGCTTATTGTTAGGTGTCTAAAACATTTTCTTTAATTTTAGCATTAAATGTTCTCTTGCTGTTATTGAAAGGATCAATATGTGAGAATTTGTTGTTATATGTGTGGACAATTGTGCTGAGTGTTGAGTTTTTGCCATAATTAGAGGAGTGAAATGGAACTTTAAATAAGTTAGTGTGTCGGGTCCTACCCTTGGGTACATTAGTGCTAATTTGCGAAAGTAAATTTTGACGATCTATACGGCTATTTATTAGATTGTATAAAAATCACATGTCTAACACGTACCAGCGTTCTTCAAGCGTCAAGAGGTTATGTTTATGACAACAGCTAACTGCATAAGACACGGCTGCTTTAGCTGATATTTTTTCTCTAAAGTTAAGGTGATTTTCTGAATTCTCTCTAGCCGTGTCTTGTGAACATTATATGCAGGTCACCAAACAGGACTTGCGTAATCAAGTATGATTCTGACAAACGCAAAGTACACACTTTTTAAACTAGTTGTACATTTAAATACTTTGCAAGTTCTGAGGACAAACCCTTGCATTGCAATTGCAAATTGCCATGTCAATTATGTTATTATAATGTAATGTAAGATGCATTTCAGAATTCAAGAAAGCACTTAGGTCACGGACAACATTAACTCTGACAATTTTTTGTGAATCAAAGTTGTAAGGATATCGTATAGGGGTTTTCCGGTGTGAAACGGACGCACTGGCATTTTTTAACATGTAGTGATATTGTTATGCCGGTAGTGTGCGAAAAGATTATTTAAATCAAATTGTAAACGTTCACAGTCAGTAATACAATCTATTCTTAAAAAGATTTTTTTATCGCCAGCATACAATAAATGATCTGCATGGGAAAAACACTTATCAATATCGAATATATAGGCGTTGTAAAAGAGAGGACCGAGGTGTGATCCCTGCGGTACACCGGAATCTACACAATCGAATGCTTTTTCGAAGTCAGTGTAGACCACGTGCACCTGGCCACCCCCCTCCATATTTTGGAGAATAAAATTTGAAAAAAGCGATAGATTTGATACAGTCGATCGCGCCCTAAGAAAACCGTGTTGTGACTGCGGTATACCCTTATTGATGATATTATAGATGGAGTTATAAACATTTTTTCCAAATAACTTGCTTATAGTATATAGAATTGAAATCGCACGGTAATTGTCTACAGAAGATTTTGATCCTTTTTTAAGGATCGGAATTATATTAGCTTTCTTCCATTCATCAGGATAGATACAGTCTTGTAACGACCGGCGGAAGAGAATTGTTACAGGTAACGCTAGTCCCTTTGCACAAGACACTAGAAATATAGGAGTATACTATCACTTCCACATCCCTTAAATTTATCAAGTGACTTCAACGTTGTCAAGACCGTTTTCTGAGATACGTGAATATTTGTAATTGATTCTCCGTGTGAATACTTGCCATTATTATGATTATTAATATTATGTTCATTACTATTATTTGAAGTGGAATTGACAAAAACGCTCTCAAAAAACCTGCTAAATGCATTACAAATACGAGAGCCATCCTCATAAATGTCACCGTCCAAGACGAATTGTTTAGGGTATTTCGAATGACCTTTTTTTGATTTAATAAACCTCCATAAATATTTAGGGTTATGTGGTAGGTTTTTTCAGCGTTTGAGGTAAATGTTTCAAAACATTGCGGGTTCACTATAAAATGTCTCTTTTTTAACAAAGAAAATACATCATTTTTCCATACATGGTGGGCACGCATTTTTTCGCGAGTTATTTTAATTTAAGAACTGGAATACCGTACTGGGAAGTGATTATTATTATGAGAGTGACTTGTCAAATCTAGTTAAATATT